GATGATGGGAAAAACAATAAAAACAGAGACAATGAGATGAGAAATATGAACAATGAGAGGGAAAAGCTTTCTGACACGCTGCTCCTCTATGATCATATTGTATTATAAAAGTAATTACAAATGTCATTTCTTAAGGGCCTCTTGCTAGAACATTTGTTAAAAAAAAAATTCAACATTATTTAGTTTGCTTTATTTGACTGTATTGAAAGTTAAGATATTGATAATGGTTAATATTGCTTATTGAAATGCAAATTAATTTGTTCATGTAGAAAAGTAACCATTAATCAATTTAAGTAGACTGAACATGGGTTTGTTTTTGTATTAATTACAATTACAGTGAACTCAAATAGTTAATCTGAATTTATATGGGTTAGTTAGAACTAAGTATAAAACTAGAATTCGTTTTAAAAGTACAGTACTCAAATTAGTTGAGCTTACATTATTTATTGAATTAAACAGAATTACTTTAAAGGGGACCTATCATGCAAAATGCACTTGTGTACGTCTTTTCTACATGAATATGTGTCCCCGGTGTTCCAGGGAACTCACCAAGTGTCAGAAAACACAACCCTCTCTATTTTCCTCCATACCCAAATCTCTAAAAAAGGGGCTGCAACGGATCTGATAAAAACTGATCCAGATTTGAACACTGTCCTGACGTCAGGACGGTGGCGCTACGGCTATTGGGCCAACTCCACCAATCAGGAGGAGACAGCCACGGCCATTGCCGTTCGAAAGCGCTGGAGACGCTGTAGTACATATGCCAGGCCTGTAGATGGTGCTGTTCTGCCCTTATCTGCCCTTACACAAACAGAGCTAAAACATTTCAAATTGAGCGAAATGAGGCATGGCTAAAATGCATGATCTGTTTGGTATTTTGAAAAAAAAAAAGTATAAATATGCCTTATATAGGTATGGTCCTACACTATATTATTCAAATATAGCATGATAGGTCCACTTTAAATACTTAATAATAGTACATCAAAATGTTTTGGGCAATATTTGACCTAAATAAAATTAAGTAAATTCAACACAGTCATAATAAGTAAGTAATTAATCTTCTGTTTTGTTAGTGATACACAATGTAAGGTTTGAGCTGAGTTTCTACATTCAAAATGTACCATTGTAAGCTAAATAAACACCTCGCACAGTGTTTGTTGTTGGAACATCTTGAAATAGGACACGACCTCTCTCTCTGGGACATAATGAGGATGCTGAGGAGGGGGTTTCTGCAGGAGCACAGATGGAGGCGTGACAGAGGCCGGTACAAACGCTGAGTTAGAGTCTGCTGATTTCTAAATGTAGCCTGAATGAACTCACTCGTAGGTCGGTCTCTATCTAGCATTTTATCCCTTCTTCTGTATATTTTATTTTGTGTTTTCTTGAGTTATAAAAATATGTCTTTCTACTGTTCTTTTGTTTGGTTTTACTGTTTATTTTATTATATGTTTAACTCATTTGCAATACCTTGTTTACATGCTGATGTAACAAAACATTTCCTGATTTTGGAATCAATAATTATATTTTGTATCAAACTAATAAACACTTTCTGGAAAATGTAAATTGAGATCTTAAGAGTTTTGAATGCATGAATCTCTCCAGCTGTCAGATTTAATTTTTGGACCTGTATTTCATGCTTTAACGAGGAAGCATTATCTGACATGTTGTTGCTCATAACTAAACAGAAAATTGACACGTTTTATGTCTGGCTGACACTCTGTGATGGATGACAGGTGCAGCACACCTGCTCTCAGCTGATGGAGCCATATGCCCAACAGACGGAGGATTATTATTATATCTCCCTGTAGAATATTTTTATTTATTTGTTTATTCCACACATGGCAATTATTTTAAAACAAAACATGTTCACTTATACTGTGTTTTTTTTTTTAAAGCGCATGGTGGAAAGGAGCAGGGAGAAGAAAATCTTATTTTACCTGCCCTTTCTTACAAAAAAAAAATGAAATAACCATTAAGAAGTCAAATAAATACTATAATAAAGTAAATAATGAAACTATAATGAAGTACATTGATTCAAGTATTTAAGTACAATTCTGAGGTACTTTATTCTTATTTAATGCTACTTAAATTATTTTAATATTTTGTCAGTCATTATTGTACTTTTCACTCCGCTACATTTATCTGACATCTTTAGTTGAATACTGGATTCTGATTGGTCAGCTTGGACATTCCAGTGGTTGTTAAATCTCGCTAACAAGCTGTTGCTAAGGAGAACAGACCGTTGCTAAGGAGGATGTGCAGTCATATCAATCCGCAGAAAGAAGTCCGGTCGATTTAAGTCCAACTACTTTAGTAAATATACTTAGTTAATGTCCCCTACTGTATATAATTATAGGTTAAGACATCCATCCGCAGGGTATACATTAATTAAAATGAGCCCCACCTTTACCAGCTGTGATGAACACATTAATGCATCAATAATCATAATCCAGTCATTTAATATCTATGATTCTAAAATGAGACGACAAGAGCAATATGTACTTATACTTTTGGTACTTTAGATACATCTGATGCCAATACTAATGTATTTAGGTTTGTTTTTTCTGCAGTATTTCTACTCTAACTAAAGTAAAAGGTACTTCTGTCGCTGCTTCGAGTGTTTCTCTTTCACCTCTGAAACTTCATCACGCGCTGCCATTCAATAAATGTACCGACCTTCAGCAGGACTGAGTACTGCTGTGTGAACAAAGGGTCGATGTACTATACATACGGACACTTCTTCACACTGAGGTCATGTTATCAGCCTTAGAGATGAAAAACACTTTTACTAAATCATCTGAAAACACAAAGGAAGAAGGCTCGGTCTGCCTTCTAAACTGATGTAAGAGTCGGGAGTCATCCGATAATTTATTCCGAACTTAAATGACTCAGACCTCCTAATTGACCTAACCGAAGTTATTGAGTCTATGTAAGTTTACTGCTTGGCTCAGATCCACCAACGATCAGCAAGATCTCACCTCTATTAACTCCCCGAAGAACCAGGTTCAATTAACTGCTGTTTCAATTCAGACAACCCCCTAAATCTGTTTAAGCAATCCCGAAGGACTTTGATATCAGTAATGAGGTGTGGCCCTACCTAAGTGTGAGTGAGGCAGTGTGCGATCTTACCTTTCAAGCAGGAGAGGAGAGTGCAGATGTCTTTCAAGTTGTCCCAATCCAAAAGGTGGGATCAGTTTATTTGAAGAAAAATAGGTCCAAACTAATACAGGGTTTTTACCTTCTCTCGTTACAACATTATCATCATACTAAACCTATCATGCTGTGATCATGTTCTAATATGAAACTTTAATTCACAGTTTTACATTTATTACCAAAATTGTAACTTCAACTGCCCAATTCAGTTGTGACATTTAAAATCTCCCGATAGAACACATAGCACATTCAAACTTTCTTTCACCAAATCAGTCACCAAATCAGTTCACATCAATTCCATACCTTTTTTCCGAAACAGATGGCGGGTACTAACATTCACAAACACATACCTAATTCCCAATCATGCTGGGGTTCTTTTACCTTTTTTTTTCGACACAGATGGCGGGTATTTTAACCTATTTTCCCAATCATGCTGGGCTTCTTTCTAAAGCCTTAATTCATAGTTAATTCCCACACATCTCAAGAATGATAGGTCTATGATCCCAGCCCATTTGAAGAATGGTAGGTTTAAGATCCCAACTCACAACTCTCATCTAAACCATTCCCTCAGCATTCAATACACAGAGATTTACGCAATAGTTACCAAGTTTGAGAGAACCTTACCGAGAGCAAAAACCCAGCTCTCAGGGAGAGAGCGTTACCGAGAGCCAATATACCAGGGGATCCCCCCCCCCTCTCTCCCTCTCTCCAAAAAGAAAAGTTCCTCCTCATCTGCCAGTGTCTTTATGCTCGAAAACAGGATAGAAAAACCTAAAGACACCTCCTCCATACCCATATTTGTGGAAACTGGGCATGGCCTCTGGTAGAAAGAACTGGACATGACCAGACATATTCTATGGCTCTGGCATAAGACACACCTTCCCATGTTTGTGTAAAAAGGACATGACCCCTACTCTGCAGGACTTGCAAAATATTATTCTCGGCTATGACATAACCACCTTTTTGGGGCCTCAATGTATTTCTCCTTAAGTCAGGAGCCCCCCTCCCTGTGTACCGCTGTGAGGGGAGAGGGAAGAAACTGCCTCTTCTCTTATCAGTGACACCCATTAACCATTACAGGCCTTTCACACTCAACTTAACAAACCACTTGTGTTTTGTTTATACTGTAAATATAGAACATCATAAAATATGAAGCATTTTCATTGTGGGTTATACAAGAATATAATTGATTATATTTGATTATAACTAACTTTCGTTTTAAGTATTCAACCTGATTTGGAGATCTCAACACTGAACACATTCATGAGGAAAGATACACATAATACTGTTGAACACTGAAGGACACATGGGTAACACGTTGCATCTGTGATAACACTATCGAGTGGTGGAGGAATGAGTGGTTTTTTAATGTGTTTTCGGTTAGGACCCTGAAATAAGGTCTGTGGTTAACTCAAACTGAAGAGACTTCAGTTTACTTTACGACATAAAATACATCGGTAAATACCCCACTGGTGAATTTAAAACGGTGGTTGCTAACAAGTGTCTAAATGAGACGACTAAACGTCATCACGCCCATAATTAGCCGCCTTTAGCTTAGCGGTGGTGACGTGAAGTCATGTGACCGTGCTGTAGTTCCTTTTATAGCCCAACATTAGCCGCCTTTAGCTTAGCGCTGGTGACGTGAAGTCATGTGACCGTGCTGTAGTTCCTTTATAGCCCAACATTAGTCACCTTTAGCTTAGCGGTGGTGACGTGAAGTCATGTGACCGTGCTGTAGTTCCTTTTATAGCCCAACATTAGCCGCCTTTAGCTTAGCGCTGGTGACGTGAAGTCATGTGACCGTGCTGTAGTTCCTTTATAGCCCAACATTAGCCGCCTTTAGCTTAGCGGTGGTGACGTGAAGTCATGTGACCGTGCTGTAGTTCCTTTATAGCCCAACATTAGCCGCCTTTAGCTTAGCGGTGGTGACGTGAAGTCATGTGACCGTGCTCTAGTTCCTTTATAGACTAACGTTAGCGTTTTATTTCTAGAGATTACATTTGTTCCTTCAACTATTGTTAAAGTGGTGTTGATATGTGGAGATTATCCTGCTGAACAAAATGTGAAAGTATCATAAACGCGTGTTTGCCACAGATCTTATTTTCTGCAATAATCAAAAATCCAATTGAAAAATCCCCATTGGCTTTTTGTGGAGGGAACCAGGGAGATGATGCCTTCAGGGTCCACTACAAAAACCTGTCATCCCTGCACCACTCTGTGAACTACGCTGGATTATGAAGTGAATAGCGTTCGTCCTGGATTCTGTGAAAAGGGATGAGGGGTCTTGGCGTGAGAATAGAGGAGAGAGGAGCTGAAAGCATGGAGGTGGAGTGAACAGCGTTAGCTTCAAAGCGTTGGGGTCAGAGGAGCGTTTACGGGTTTTTTTGGGGGGGAAAGTACTTACGGACGGGCTCGGTGGTGAAGCTGCTCGCCGCGCTGCTCTCGCCTTCTCCTTTTCCGTTGATGGCGGACATCTTGACCTCGTAGGTGGTCTCCGGCTTCAGGCCAGCGATGGTGATGCTGATCAGGTCTGTGGCGAAAAGGTGGTGTTATTTAAATGCATGGATAAACAGAAACACAATACAATACCATTACCATCATAGCAAAACACTCTCTGCTATATAACATGTGCAATATTATTAATAATGTTCTATAATAACGCGCAATTACGTATCTGCCACTACGTTTTTTTGCACTACTCAATACTGCACAGTTTTTTACATTCATTATTTGACCGTCTATGTTACTTGTAGTTATTTAATTGCTCTTTTTACTGCACTGTAAGTGTCCAGTTGTATTATTATGCTGCTGTGTTTATTGTATCTTTGTAACTCTGGCACAACAATTTCCTTCGGGATAAATAAAGTCCTATCTTATCTTATCTTATCTTACGCAGCGTCCACACGGCGGCGTGCGTTGAAGCTTGCCGGCGGGCGTGTCTGAAACTCGACCAACAACCAATCACATCAATCTCCCGCCCCGGACACACAAGCACACGGTTTGATTGGCTAGAGCTTGTACTGGCATATGATTTGATTGGCTGACGCTTCCGTCGAAGCTTCAAAAGTTGAACATTGCTCAACTTTTGAAGCAAACAACGCGAGCAAAGCGAAGCGACGGAACCACAATGCAGTTCGGCAAAGCGTGACGTCACCCCATTCAAAGTGAATGGGCAGAAGCGTTGAAGCTTCAACGCACGCCGCCGTGTGGACGGGCCGTTACAGTACATGTGCTTTGTGAAAGCTTCATTAAAGCGTAGTCTTCTGCTATTAAAGCAAGGTGTAAGTCTTGTGGTAAAAACAAGAATTGTGGCGGCATTGAAATAAATATTTGAAAAATCTAAACAGCAAGTTTTGAAAGGTCTGTGGAAATTATTCTTAGAAAAAACGAAATCAAACACAACTTCCTGTCCCTGTTACCTATACAATTGGAGACGAGGGTCTCTTTCAATAAATAACAGAACAATTCATATGTTTTTTAGATTTATATACATTTGACTCATATATACAGTATAGACCAAAAATATCATCAGTCTTGTGTTTTTCTCAGTTTGGTTTTCTATTCTGAAACATAAAGGACACACTTAAGGATAAGTCGTTGATCCAATCTCTATTTAGTCTGGGAGTAATTCCTTAAAGTATGCACTAGAGGTTTAACCTGTTAAGCCCCAAAGCCCCCGTCGGCGGGTCTTTTTTTTTTTCACAAATTAAAAAAAAAAAAAAAAACGTTTTTTTTTAAATTTTTAAATTTTTTATTAATTTTTTTAATTTTTCTTTTTTTTCTTTGAATGGAATGAATACCTATGGTGATAATTCAATGTAATACATAATTTTTATAGTCTGGTACCTGAAAAAGGTCAAATGGCACTGATGGAACCAGATGTACCCAAATGTGCCAAAAGCTTATTCTGCCTGGAACTTTTTTTTGCTAAATCTCTCTAAAAAGGTCAAATTTAACTTGTTTTGCCTCAATCTTGATACAGGGTACTTATTATATGTTATAGTTTGGATTCCTAAAGCTTTTAGTCTACTAACCCATCATCCAAGGGTGGTTTTCACTATAAGTAATGGGTTTTTTGTAGGCGGAGGTAAGAATTTACCTTTTTTTACTATGTTCCATCTGAATTTACTCTAACTGAGAAAATCCATATTGATTCTGACACTTCTACATCCAACTCACAGATGTAACCTTGCTTTGATAAAAGAAATTATTCATATAACCCTTTTAGAAGTGAAGTTGTAGTCATTTGTTTTGGGCATGTCATTTTCGAGCCTGAAACCTGAAAAACAGGCTTGGGGCTTTACAGGATCATATTTATTTTTATGAAAAAGCACTACAATACATTTTCAGGCACTGATATTATGTTATTAGCGACGCACTGTTGTGATTTAACACTGATATCCATGTGCTTCACGACTTCAGTCTTGAAAGCCACTTGGTTGAGATCTCACTGTGTGACACAAAGGAGAGTAATTGCACGGCGGAGAGTAGATGTAGGTCTCTCTTTAAAGCAGCAGGGAAACATTTTGGTACCACTTTACAATAAGACTACCCTTATAAAATGTTTACAAATAGTTAGTAATTCATTTATTAATTAGGTTGTGAACACTTTATAAATCATTAATAAGCTTTTATAAGACATGAGATAAACAGGTGACCGGTTGCTTGCCAAATAGTGAGCCCACATTTATCTGTACTGCTAAGCCTTATTAGAAATGGTAGTAACTCATTAATAAATGTGAATAGGTTTTACACTTTACAATAAGGCTCCTTTTTGGCAGCTATACATGTTAGTAACTCGTAAATAAATGGTCATAAGAGATGCCAAGAAACATCAAGATGGATGAGGGGGAATCAAGTCAGTGAGCAACATTATTGTGTTGCATTGTTGGAGAAGCCTGTGACCTAAGATTTTCAACGACATAATTACTCTGTAGCTATGTTAGTTTGACAATAAAGAACCTTGAACCTTGAACAGACACCAAGGATGCTGGCTGATGAAGAAGACGAAGTAAGCTAGGTAGCCAATATAAGGCTTAGTCATCTTGCCAAATAGTGAGCCTGTGTTGATGTATGAAAACTATGTTAGGACCGGTTTATAAATGGTTCTTAATGATTAATAAAGTGTTTACAACCTAATTCTTAACCTAATTATAAACCCTTTATGAATCCTTTATAAGGGTAGTCTGATTGTAAAGTGGTACCAACATTTTTTGTGTTGAATGTGTTTTAGAATAAAGTCTCGATGAGAAGGACTTTCTGAATGTGTTGCAGGTTTTGCTCAGGAAGGTTCATGACTGAGTGAAATGACCCGAAAAGTGTCAGCCATTATAAGAGCTGTTCTGACTCCCTAAATGATAGGAAAGGAGCTTCAATGCTTCCTTTTTAATCTCCTTTAGCTTAGGATACACTGGACCATCATTAAAGAAAGGAAAGGAGAAGATACTGCCCCTCAATAACTTCAACGTAACATTTAACGTGACACAACATTCGGCTGCTCACAACCGATTGTGACGAACTAACGCTGCTCGTCCATCAGGTTGCAGGTGCTGATTCAGCATTAAACATCATATTTAGTAAGTTGCTAAAGTGCTTTTATGCTAATTACTGTCAAGATAAAATAAAGTTTCACTGTGATTACTGACTTTATTTCAACATGTTTGAATGGTGACTGAATGCATAGTAGTCGATGTGTAGGACTAACAAGTTATGCATATATTGGATAAAGATATTATATATATTTTCATACAATATATTAAATAATATATGTCTTTAGATAATTTACAATACTGTATTGGGTTTACATGCATTAATACGTGTGGACAGGAGGTCGAGAAACGGTTTAATTACACTATTTTGATTTGAATTTCAATTCCAACCTTGGTAATGAAGAATATATTATTCATTGCTGTCCACTTTTATGAAGCCTGTATAAAACAACACCATAATAAATGTGCTTGTAGTAGAAATTGTATTTTTCTCCCAGTGTCTTTTCCTAAGTCCTGATGAATTGTCTTTCCTTTCCTTAACCCCATGATGTTTTCTAACTGAGGTTAGGGTAAAACCATTTAGGAAAAGACCCAGGAGCTGGTTTCTCTGACTGCGTGGGGAACTGAATGAATACAGATGAAAACATGAGGCCAGATGAATTGATGACTGTGCTTTTAGACGGTGACAGTGCAGAAAGCGCTCAGATTTCCTGCAGTAATTTACCGATGATTACCACATGCTGCTTCCCTCGCCTCCTCGCAAAGGTTACCTCCACAAATCATTACAACTGTTATGAACACGACTGACTTCGGTGTGTGTTAATCATCGCGTTGCTTACTGCGGCATCAAACTGTTTATTGATGTGTGAGAGGAAACACATAAGATAAATTATTACGGCTTATATCTGCAGCACACAGTCAAAGTTATAATCCCCGACAGTGATATGGTCTGTCTCCTAATGTACAGCAAAGATGGATATTAACAGTCTATTTGCATCATAAGTGCATTGATCTTGAATACAGACCATTCAATAAAGGCTAACAGAGATATTTACTCCCTAAAATATGGAAATGATTACTCAGGTTTGAAGTGTACAGTATGAATCCAGCAGGTGCACCTTAACTGTTGTCTGTGCACACTGCAGAGTTAATCCTATATATGTGATGGGTGTGTCTATAGCAGGTAATACTGGTTTCAGACATGTGATGGCAGCAGGTTCACTTTAATGTGAGGAACACTTCATGTCATCTGTATGGACACATTTCAGCCACTGCATCATTCTGTCAGTAAAAAAATGCTATTTAAATTGAATTATTTAAATCTGTTTCGTAATTAATTTTTGATTGTTTGTTTATATATAAACATTTGTATTATATATTTATTATTTTATTAATATATTTTTTTTAAAGATGTTCTTTAACTTCTTATGTTTTTATTTAATTTATTTAATTTTCATCTTTAAATTGCACATTATTTACTTTCCTAACCTTTCATTTTTATATAGATATTTTGCATTATTTTTATTTCATACTTAAGGGGACCTATCATGCAAAATGCACTTGTGTACGTCTTTTCTACATGAATATGTGTCCCCGGTGTTCCAGGGAACTCACCAAGTGTCAGAAAACACAACCCTCTCTATTTTCCTCCATACCCAAATCTCTAAAAAAGGGGCTGCAACGGATCTGATAAAAACTGATCCAGATTTGAACACTGTCCTGACGTCAGGACGGTGGCGCTACGGCTATTGGGCCAACTCCACCAATCAGGAGGAGACAGCCACGGCCATTGCCGTTCGAAAGCGCTGGAGACGCTGTAGTACATATGCCAGGCCTGTAGGTGGTGCTGTTCTCACTGAATCAGCCCTTGCTAAAACAGAGCTAAAAAATGTCAAATTGAGCGAAATGAGGCATGGCTAAAATGCATGATCTGTTTGGTATTTTGAAAAAAAAAAAGTATAAATATGCCTTATATAGGTATGGCCCTACACTATATTATTCAAATATAGCATGATAGGTCCACTTTAAATGAAGCAACAGTCACACAAGATATTTTTTTCCCTTAATTAATAAAGTGTACTGTTTCTGATTGATGCTGATAAATATTATGTAGTCCTGATTTTACACATTTACGCTACAAATATACTCCTCTATACTCATGTGCATTTAGACATAGTCAATGGTTATAATTGTGTAACATATAAGTTATATGTTTTCCTTTTCAGCTAAAGCATTTTAAATGTTTACGAGTGGTTATATTACCAACAGCAGTATCTGATGTAGGTTATTAAGTTATACAGTATTAGGTAACATTCACAGTTTTTGTGTGTGTGTGTGTGTGCATGTGTGTGTGTGTGTGTGTGACAGGCATCTATTCAGCGTTGCCTGTCAGCCGCAGACAGGACGAGGACCATGTGTATCTGCAACCACGAGGCCTCAGTGGGACGTGGATAATATCTGGAGCCGTCAGGGAGCTGTCAGTTACGCTGTGTTCGCTGTCATGTTTGGATTAACTGCTGTTGAAAATACTTGATGCATTTGTGGCACATATTACCTTTATGTTTAGTAAAGAATTACACCCCTAAAATATCTGTTTATGAATTCTCCTGGGATTAAAGTACAGGGTTTTACTAAAAAAGCCACGTACTTTTAAGGATTTTGTCTGAATAAGAATCAGGTTTTTTGCCAAGTATGCACAACCAAGAAATTGCTTTGGTGTATAATGGTGCTTACGTTAATTCAGTATAAAGGAATTAAGTTGTTAAAACATTTGCAAAAATAGAACCATCTAAGAATGCAAAATACAAAAATAAATGGCTACAATAAATAGAAATGAAAAAAAAAATACAAAACGAATAAAATTAAAATGTTAGTACAACAAATAACTCTGAAAAATGTAAAAATAATATATATATATATACGTATACATATATATATTTTTTGTGTATCTTGTACGGCGACCTTGAGAGCCTTGAAAGGCGCCAATATGAATAAAATGATTTATTATTATTAAATCAGTATATCAGAATTTAAATTGGAAAAGCCGTGCAGTCTTCAAATATTGTCAGTGATGTTTGTTTCCTTTTTCCATTTGGGATTTATGGTTTGGCGCTACAGTTCTTATTGAGCTCCTGGTAATGAAAACAGTGTGAGTTAGTGTTGCTTCTGTCACACCTGAGCCCAATTCTGTTTTCTTATATAACTATTATATTTGTGTGAAAGCTGCAGCACGAATAGTATTTTCTCAGTTTCCCTTTGCACCGTTACATCGACAGTTGTTAGAATTTAGGAAAGGGATCTTGAATAAGAGGCAATATCTGAATATTTTTTACCCAAGGAGTGTTATTTATCAACGGAATAACCTTCTTCTGTTGGGATGTTTTTCTTTTTTAAAAAGCAATATGCTTTTAAGACAAGATTAGAGTAGCTTTAGAGGATATTCAGGTGTAGCTGAAGCAGGTGATGCATTTTAAGAGACCGAAAATAAAACGCTGCCCCTGAAGAGAGAATGTAATTACATGGCTTGCATCCACTTTGCTTGATTAAAATGTTTTTCCAAGGCTTTTAGAGGAGATGCTTGTAAGTGCTGGTGACTCAGGGACGTAATTCAGGAGAAATATAGCAAGTGCCAGCTGCCATTAAAATATGATGCTTATAAAAGTCCTAAATGAGATTTCCCTCCAAAAACTTTTGTAAATATATTGAGTGAGTGAGCAAAGTTTTTAACAAATCTGTTGGGAAAATAGTGAATGTCCTCTTCCAGTATCAGAGTCCACATGATAACAAAGGTATCCCAACTGTAGCTGTGAACATGACAGGATGTATGATTACCTAGAAGAGCATCAGGACTGTTTGAGGGATATGATAGCTATGTGATGAACATGATGATTCAGCCTCTATGGAGATAGACATATGACAAGCATGCTCATTTCTGACGTGGAGCTAATCTGAAGTAAACATTGAATACTGCTTTCTATTCCTCCATCTTGTGACTGTGTAACTCCCTCTCTTGGATATCAGCATGTGAAGGACACTGTTCAGGAACTAGTTGATGCTCTGTATGTGATGACTACTTCCATTCTGGAGAGGATCACAGATACATGGATCCTGAGATTGAAGCTCAAGACGGGGACCAGGGATTATTAACATTTTTAAGTATTCAGAAAAAGTCCGAATTTTGAGAAAAAGTCTGATTTTTTAGATTTTTGAGAAAAAGTCTGATTTTTTTTATTTTTGAGAAAAAGTCTGATTTTTTAGATTTGGAGAAAAAGTCTGATTTTTTAGATTTTTGAGAAAAAGTCTAATTTTTTAGATTTTTGAGAAAAAGTCAGATTTTTTAGATTTTTGAGAAAAAGTCTAATTTTTTTAGATTTGGAGAAAAAGTCTGATTTTTTTGATTTTTGAGAAAAAGTCTAATTTTTTAGATTTTGAGAAAAAGTCTAATTTTTTAGATTTTGAGAAAAAGTCTGATTTTTTAGATTTTTGAGAAAAAGTCTAATTTTTTAGATTTTTGAGAAAAAGTCAGATTTTTTTTATTTTTGAGAAAAAGTCAGAATTTTGAGAAAAAGTCAGAATGTTGAGAATTTTGTACGTGACAGGATGTACTGCTTTCTATTCCTCCATCTTGTGACTGTGTAACTCCCTCTCTTGGATATCAGCATGTGAAGGACACTGTTCAGGAACTAGTTGATGCTCTGTATGTGATGACTACTTCCATTCTGGAGAGGATCACAGATACATGGATCCTGAGATTGAAGATCAAGCCGGTGACCAGTGAGATTTTTCAAACAGAATCCATCCGGAGAAATGATCCACTCACCGTCTTTAGCGTCGTGCTCCATGCTCTTCCAGTCCTGGCCAATCAGACGCCACTCCACCCTGTATCTGATGATGGGGACCCCCCCCATGGAGTCAGGCTCCTCAAAGCTCACCACCGCGGTGCTGGAGAAAGGGTCCACCTGCTGGATCTCTGGAGAGGATGGCACCTCTGAAACAGAGAGGGAAACAAAGGGATTGGTCAATTTGGGAATCAGAATCAGAATCAGAATCATAATCATAATCAGAATCAGAATCAGAATCAGAATCATAATCATATCCCCTCTATTCGTCCCACAGAGGGGAACTGTACATTGTTCCAGCAGAAAAGAGCCAAAGACAGCTTAATGTTACCTAAGAAGCTTGCATAAAAAAAGTTAGACAATTAAAAAAATACACATCATGTAACAGTTCTGAGGATTTAGCAGCCAGGTATATATTTCAAAGTTATTAACGGCATATATCTATATATATATATGTATATATATAGATATTGAACATATATAGATAGATATACAGAAGTCTGTTTATTTGTTCTAGCAAACCGTTGCTAGGGATGACACTCTGCTCAGTGGGACCATGTGCGGTCATATCAATCCGCAGAAAGTAGTCCGGTCAATTTAACGTCAGCTGTGGCTAACAAACATTAGTTCTTGTCATCGGAAAACACTGTTGCATACTTTTTGAATATTTCATTTTTACATTTGTGGAGAGCACGACATGACTTTGGATTCATGACGGCTAAACTGTCTCCAGTAAAGAAGGAGAGAGCTCCAGAAGGACAGAGTTTAAAAGACAGAGAACTGGACGTCAGAGAAATCAACAGAAGAAGACAGACAGGAAGTAAACACTAACGGGAACACAGCTCTGAAGTGTTTAAAGACTGGTTAATGGAAAATAAAATGAGAACAGAATTGGACAGTTCAAGAAAAACTCGATCAGTGCTGGTGTCATTTTAAATTAGGCAGCTGTCGCCACAGTTATAGCCGTTGGTGCAACGTGCAAAAGAAATGTTTTTCTCAGTGGACGCAATATTTGGAAATGACTATTGTGAGTCAAGTCTTTGGTTTATTCAGTAGCCGTGTAATAAGCTTGATAATGACCGCCTCGATTCACATTATCCCTCACGTATATGTTTGGATCAGATAGATATCGTCCACTGCAGATAACGCTGAGCTTTAAATCAGCTTCTGTCGTGGCTCTGGCTTTCCTCTGGTGCCCTGAAGCCTCTGGTGCCCTGAAGCCTCTGGTGCCCTGAAGCCTCTGGTGCCCTGAAGCCTCTGGTCACCACATTACTGAGGCTCTGTTGGACATGCCTGAACGAGCAGCCGAGTTACTCTGTGATTCATGAAGATAGGAGCGGTGACACAGAGAAGGAGCAGACAATGCCATTTAGACTCAACACTACTCACCACTGACTGAGTTACTAGTTTCCTTATATTTACTTTATTTAACATACTTTTGTGGCACGAAAAAAGGTATTCTGATTGTGATTGTGATTCACTCCAGAGCTGACTTGATATCTCCTCATACTGACTGTAAACAGTGTGTCATGTGGGTTTCAATACTGTCTGTTAAATGTAGGTCTACAGAGTCTGTTGTGGATATTAACTGTTTTATTAGGGTTAGTGTTGGGAAAATACTGAATGTTCCTTCTGTATCAGAGTAGCACATGATAACAGAGGCCCTACGTAGCTGTGTACGAAGCCGGATGTCTGACTACATGGATGACGCTCATGAGACACTGTGATGGAGTTATGATAGCTATGTTCCTAAGATTGGCATGATGACACAGCCCCTAGAGAGATAGACATATGACTGTCATGTGTATTGCTTACGAAGGCCTTAGCTAATCTGAACTAATGTCAGAATACTGCTTTGAACCAGTATTCTTCCTTCTTGACTGTAACACCCTCTCTTGTATATAAAGCATATCAAGGACTCTACTCTGGGAACTATTTGTCCCACGCAGCCCTGTGATGACTACTTCCATTCTTGCAAGGATAATAAATACATGTGTCCTGATATTAAAGACCAAGCCGGTGTTGAGTGATATTTTTCTAACAGTTAGGATTTTATAGTATAATAGCCATGACACCTTTATTTCTTGCTGTTTTTTATAAAATAATTTCCGCTAAGCTAAAGGCGGCTAATGTTCAGCCTGATGACATTTGGTCGTGTCATTTAGACACTTGTTAGCAACAGTTTTTAAATTCACGAGTGGGGTATTTACTGACGTATTTTATGTCTTAGAACAAAATCTCTTCAGCTTGTGTTAACCACAGGCCTAATTTCAGGCTAACAACCAAAAACACATTCAGAAACCATTGACTTTGAAGTGCTAAATAGTGACTGATCTCTGGGTTTTAGGACTCATTCCTGCATGGTCTTTTGAAATGCCTAAAAGTAAAACTATTGCTTGGTGCTACAAAGCATCACTAGGTCTTTTTAAGTGCTGTAAGGTGAAGGAATCAACTAATTATCAATCCATGTATGCATGTCTGCAAGCTTCCCACATCTACTCGATATTATCATGCTATCAGAAACCCTCCTGATAATGATACACTTACTGGATATTTTATGGATGGTGTACTATTAGAAGAGTATGTAGTGAAGAGGCTGTTTAATTATCCTTGAAATTTGAATCAATCTGTTTAGTGAAGCTTCTTGCCTCGTGCTGTGAAATATCTCATTGGCATATCAATATGGAGGATGAGTTGCACATTTGTGTGGGAGAGAAACTCCCTCTTCTTCAGGAAGGTACAATGCTCAATGACTCGGTGCACGAACCTGCTTGGATCAGAAGGAACTCCTTGGACTCAGAGCCCATCGCGTTGGAGGCGGTGCAGTTGTAGCTGCCGAAGTCATTCTGGGAATCAGGAGTGATCTGAGAGGAGATGGAAAAGAGACAAATACAGAGAGGTCACACAGGTGAACAAAAAGAAAATACTACACTGAGTAGACCCATGGATAACTTGAATTTGTATCTTTTAAAACTAGATATTGTTATAATTAAAGTATATTCGGTGTCCTTGGTGTCATGAAAGGCGCCTTAAATCAAATGTAATATTATTATTATTACATTTAAGTATATTCAGGGTTGATTTAGGTCTTCGTTTGTTCTTCACATCTGTCATTTTGTATTGTTTTAGAGTATTGTAACACTACATGGTACGAGTGTTTGTCCACCACTTTAAAGTGAGAGCTGCTCCACTTCAACATCTGGTGGAAGATTGAAGGTCAACCCTTTGAGAAACTCTATGAATCAACCGTCCATAAAAACATATTTACATTGTCTCTGAACATGAATTGTTTCCATCAAATCTCCACCATTTCATAAGGTTAGACTCACTGAGTAGACCCATGGATAACTGGAATGGCTTCCTTTATAGAACCTAAGTAGATATAGTTTTTATTATAAGTATATTTAAGTATATTCAGGGTTGATTTAGTTTCTGTCGCCTCAGGTCTTCTTTTGTTCTTCACATCGTTGATTTTTAGTGTTTTACAGAATTGTAACACCTCTGGCCGGAAGAGAACTGCTCCATTGCTTCTCTTAAACTCCCACTGTACATTTTACATTTATATTCAATTTCATATTGAATAATACATTTCTTGCACAATAATATCCTGCATTATATTTGTTACTGGAAATGTGTATTTCCACATGTATATATATTTTTTAACTTTTTTATTCTATTTTATTTCTATTTCAGAAATATTTACCTACCTACCTACCTACCTACCTACCTACCTACCTACCTACCTACCTATCTACCTACCTACCTACCTATCTACCTACATACCTATCCATCTATCTATCCATCTATCTATCCATCTATCTATCTACCTACCTATCTACCTATCTACCTATCCATCTATCTATCCATCTATCTATCCATCTATCTATCTACCTACCTATCTACCTATCCATCCATCCATCCATCCATCCATCCATCCATCCATCCATTCATCTATCCATCCATCCATCCATCCATCTATCTATCTACCTACCTATCTACCTATCTACCTATCCATCTATCTATCCATCTATCTATCCATCTATCTATCTACCTACCTATCTACCTATCCATCCATCCATCCATCCATCTATCTATCTACCTACCTACCTACCTACCTATCTGTATCCATCCATCCATCCATCCATCTATCTACCTACCTACCTACCTACCTATCTGTATCCATCCATCCATCTATCTATCTATCTATCTACCTACCTACCTATCTGTATCCATCCATCCATCTATCTATCTATCTATCTATCTATCTATCTATCTATCTATCTATCTATCTATCTATCTACCTACCTACCTATCTGTATCCATCCATCCATCTACCTACCTACCTACCTATCTGTATCCATCCATCCATCTATCTATCTATCTATCTATCTACCTACCTACCTACCTATCTGTATCCATCCATCCATCTACCTACCTACCTACCTATCTGTATCCATCCATCCATCCATCCATCTATCTATCTATTTATCTACCTACCTACCTACCTACCTACCTACCTACCTACCTACCTACCTACCTACCTACCTACCTACCTACCTACCTACCTACCTACCTACCTACCTACCTACCTATCTGTATCCATCCATCCATCCATCCATCTATCCATCCATCCATCCATCCATCCATCCATCCATCCATCCATCCATCTATCTATCTATCTACCTACCTATCTACCCATCCATCCATCCATCCATCTACCCATGGGCGTAATTTCCACTGGGGACAGGGGGGACATGTCCCCCCCACTTTTCAAAATCCCATTTGTGTCCCCCCCACTTTTACATTTTTTTTACGCAAGCGGTCATCGTCACGGAGGAGCGTCTGTGTGTGTGTGTGGCACGAGCGCATCTCGTGAGAGAGAGATAGAAAGAGAGAGAGACAGAGAGAGAGAGACAGAGAGTTACGGGGGTTGTTGTTAGCATTTGGTGCTAGCTCGGAGCTAATGGAGATTAGTAGCTGTTTCAACAATAAGGAGAGGGAGAGCTCTTTCCTGTCGGACTTTGAGAGACTGAGATAGAGAGAGAGAGAGAAATAGAGAGAGAGAGAGAGAGACAGAGAGAGAGAGAGAGAGAGAGAGAGAGAGAGAGAGAGAGAGAGAGAGAGAGAGAGAGAGAGAGAGAGAGAGAGAGAGAGAGAGACTAAGAGTTACGTGGGTTGTTGTTAGCATCTGGTGCTAGCTCGGAGCTAACGGAGATTAGAAGCTGTTTCAACAATAAGGAGAGGGAGAGTCCTCTCCTGTCGGACTGAGAGAGATCACGTCAGCTCAGGGAGGTTAAAGGACTCTCTGAGTGATTAGGTTGTAAAACTTTAGTCTAGTTATCTCAGTGGGTCTCAAACGGTTTGGTCATCTATGTATAACAAATATTTTCCATCTATGTAATATATAGTTGTATATAAAATAAGTTAAGAAATCCTTCCAATGTGTACTATAGGTCAGTACAAAAAATAAAAAACACAGTTTGAAAGGGGAAGTGATTAGTCAAATATGCATAAATAAAAAAAAAAAAATGCAGACTAGGTAAGATAAAGATAGGAGAGAGGAGTTTATCAATGATGTGTTATTGGTTGTGGGCATATTCTAATGGCTTTTTGATTATTGAAATATATACAGTTCTGTTTCATATGAGTGTTGAGAACTGTATCCATAAATCTCTTAATGTTGCCCTCAAAGTGCACCAGATTGATGCATTCAACTTCAATTTAAAGAAACAAATCTTCCCGGGGTGCATGCCCCCGGACCCCCCCTAGAGGATGTCAGGTAATCACAAATAAAACAGGTTCACATGGATAGGATACTAGATAAGTGTGCACACTCATTATATACACTACACATTTTTCTTGGATTTGTTAACACTATAGTCCCTAATATATTTGTAGAAAGGCAGGAAATGGAATTAAATTGAGAAAATATTTCATTGCGGAGGACCCCCCTGTTTTGTGTCCCCCCCACTTCTCAAACCAAAGTTACACCCTTGACTAGACTGACTTAACTATTTCTGGTTAGTCTTCTCTCTTTAACTCGTATGTGGCATCAATGATTCACTACCTACATAACATAAGACGAATGCACAGAAAACGGAGATTTACTGCTGATCTCCATCATTCATCAGAAAGACCAAAGTGGCAGTGTACCACAGCCTCATTTAGCCCGTGTTGCGTGAGGCCAGGTTACACTCAGCAACACTCATAACTTTATCAGGTCTTAAAATGATGCAGCCGTTTCGCCAAGAGGCTGTGTCAACAGTACCAGTCGATACCCACACACAGGGTTTCCACTTCATGCCAATAATACCGCTAGGGCAAGGACTCCAAACCTCCGCCCCACGGAAGATAAGAGGACGGAAGTACCGGAGCTTAGCAGGCTAAGCATCAGCTGCTAAACGGACTATCCCTCCCCATCCAGGAGGGCATTGCAGCGATAGCCAGCCAATTATGAATGACCATATGGTTGGACTGAATTTGCCCTGTATTACATTAAAGAAACGCCGACAAACTCTCATACGTCTGTAGTGCTCTGTGCCCGTCTCTAAACACAAGAAGCTCTCAATTAAAACGGCCTTAAACACATCCTTATTATCCAGAGCTTATCTAGCGTTAGCTAGCTAGTGAATACGTAGCCTGAAATTGACACTCTGGTTCACGTTAGCTGCAGAAAAAACACATACATTAGACTACACGTCGTTTTGTCATATATTATTTACCGCCTGTAAAATATTAAACGGTTGTGAAAGTGATGATAGCAACACAGATACAAATGCAGTTGTTATCCCGTGAAAACGCATGAAATCAAGCTAGCATCGCTACCTTTAATGCTAACACAGCAGACCGTTACCAGTATTTAAAAGTGGCATCAGGAGCTAGCTAAGCATCCCAGCTATGTCAAATGAAGGTTACTCTTCTTATTTACGACTAAATGTTGAGTATAAATCCAGGGTATAACAAGCGTGTAACCATCCACTGAAACTATTAGACTTAACACGGCCCCGCAATGACAAAAACAACGCAGTGTTTACCGTGAAAGGTGTGTTTAATCCTCAGCTTCCCAGCAGCGACTAGCCCAGTCAATGCCCAGTTATGCACCTGCAGTAGCTCCGTGCTCCTCTTGATTGACAGCCCCGGCATAAGCGGCTATGTACCTACGTACAAGCAGAGTGTAAGGACGATTGGCACGAGGATTGACCAATCAGAGAAGAGGATCCGTTCATTCACACAGAGCCTTGCCTCCACCCATTTTGTAAATTATTGAGGGGGTTTGATTCAGTATTTAGCTGAGGCAAAGTGAAAAGTGAATGAAGAAGGTAGGAGTAAACTATGTAATACAACAGAATAATAAAATAGACAAATGCAAGTACAGTAGAGGAAGATTGATTCACAATGCTAAAGTTGGTAAAGGTGAAGTTAATGACGTTATAAACTTCTTTCTGGTGAAACATTTGTATTTATTTAAGTCTGCAATGTAGTGCAGTACAATATGAAATAGCTTACATTGGAAATAGACTGCTCAAGTAAAGTATAAGTACCTCAAAATTGCCCTTAACTTTAGTACTTTTTTGACCATCATTAGTTAATTTTCAGCTTTTGTTTTGATCAGCAAAATAACCTTATCAAAAGTATAGTCATTATGAAGAACGGTCTCGTTTGGTGTTATGTTACCACTGATATCCTATTATTGTATTATATTTATTACAGGTGCATAATCATATGCAATATTTTACTATTGTAGTTGTTAAATGCATATTATTTTAGCCATCTCTTGGGGTTGTTTAATGCATTATATTTCATAAGCCCACATAACTGAACAATCAGTTGATGCATAGTACGATTTTCTAATGACTTATCAGCAAGCTGCTTCCTTTTAGGAGGTTGGTTTTCCTCAACATTTAGAGACAAAGACATCAAAGAGTGAATCGTTTTTTCCTTTATTGGCAAGGCAAACAGTTCTAGTTGGAGAGAGGGCTAACACACCCACAGTTAAACAGCAGAGTTTGGATTGTCAAAGCTGCAAAGTCTTCACGACCAATATTCATAAATCTCTAAGAACAGAAAAACTGATCTAGGATGACTTGAGGCCGTGTGACTATATTATCTTCACTATATATCAAAGAAGTCTCAGATCAGCACACTTACTGTAAGATCGTGAATGAATATGTGATCAGATCATTGAAAACAGAGGAAGACAGGAGATGAGAGATGTCTCAGAAATATGTCACTAAACTATTTTTATACCAAGAAAAACATGAAAGTGAATATTTTTGCTTATGTATAATGTTATTCGCAGACATAAAGAAATGAAAAGAGAAGGGGGAAAAAAAGCTGAGTTACAGTTGACATCTGTCCTGTGTGACTTTCTCACACATAAGTACTAAACCTCAGACTAAAATAAGTCTACCGTTCCATCTTTTCTGACAGGTAATACCGAAATAATAAATAAACTGTACATGAAGCACTGTGAGGAAAATGTACAAAATCAAACAATTAGTGACATGCAGAGACAGACTGAATCCTCGCATGTTGTGCTGGTTGAGCTGTTGTTAGATAGTCCTTAGTGTTGAAGGCATCCTTGAGTGTTTGTCTGTTTGGTGATGTTTATGGCTACAGAAAGGATTACACATGTTTTACTCCAGCATGTCAGTTAACACATCTATGACCAGAAAAAAAAATCCCAAGTTTGAAGGTAAGGCGTTCAGCTCGTTCACACATTCAAATAGTTTTCACTCTGTTTTATGGTTATAAAATAAAACAAGTTTTTCCACAGGTCAAGTTCTGTAAGATCTCTATATTCTTCATCCTGCAGCCAACGTCATGCACTTCAACAGAACGCTTCTTTTTCATACAGTCAATTATAAAAAGGACAAAAAAAACGACTTCAGTCCCTCCGAAATCCGACCTTTAAGAGCTGTAGTGGTGCAGCCCGTGCAATTCAACTCAACCACCAGCCATCAGAAAAACAGTGAAACAGTCACTATACATGTTAAACTGTACTGGAAGTGCAGAACTGTAAAAGTACCATACAAAGTGCTTTGGTTTATTCTTAGCAAATACATCAAAAAAGTCAACCCAGTCATTCACTCTCACACAATAAAACAAAACACTGTATTAAGACAATATCAGTTTCAGTTACCGTTAGAACTGGAGTTTAAAAAAAATTGTAACAGAGACACTCGGGTCAGATTGGCACACAGTGTGCTACAATCAACCAACTTTATCAGTCATGGATGGAAAGTAGCCAGTGGCAAAATGGAAATTACAGTACGGGTTGTGTCATGCTTGCTTGGCACTTGTTTGTCATTGACTATGTCCCTGTGAAGAGCAAAATATTGATCAATGAGGAAAAAAAAGAAGAAAAAAATTCTGGCTCATCCATCCTGGTTTGTTTGTTTTCTACAGTTACAATGATGCTGACATCCGTCTTTGCAACCCTTGTGCTTGGATGCTGTGTGACACGTCTGTAATTACCATGATGGATTTGTATGGATAGTTTGATGCAGTTTGTAGATGTACTGTAGCGTTTAGTTTTTGCATGATGTCTCCGCTGGTTGCTTGGCAGCCCTTCCAAAGCTGTTTTGAAGTCAACAGCCTTCAATGTGTTCATGTTTTGGCTCAGTCCCAACTATAAAGTGCTCAACTTGAAGGGAAACCTATAAACATGGGTGCCAAATATTAAGAACTCAAGAATTAGTGACTTGAAATTTAAGTCAAAATAGCAACAAAACTGAAACATTACTGATATTTGGGGTAGTCCTCCAGTTCAATGGGTTTTGAATATAGCTTTGCAAATCATTTGCCTCCAATGCCAGAACTTTAATTCCACATGTCGACACTGGGAGGCACCATATGCACAGCCCACATAGCTGGATGTAATTCCTGACTGAATAACACTACGCTGACCCTGGCTCATTATTGTCACCGACAATATCATAGTTTAGGTTTATAAAATGGAAATAGTGAGCCTGAAACACTTCTAAAAAACTTCAAAATATTATGCATTGCCAGCCATTTATAGCAACACTACTGTTTGCTGAACATAATTAAATAGGCTGTGCAAGCTGAAAGAAGTGCTACGTATACAATAATAATGATAGCGCCACTCGAAATGTTTGCTACATTAAAAATGACTGCATAAAATCATGCATAGCTTCTTTCTGCCATTACTTTGCCTACACTGCTTTGGAGTCTGCTATTTACTGTACCTTCATTGACTGCAATTCAATGGACCTAAATAAAAGATAACAAAACAAACAAAATAAGAACTAAGAAGGCAGGGTAAAGTTTGGCAAGATGTCTTAAAATATGTTTTCACGCTCATTCATCACTTCCTCACTTTCTTCACAAAGAGGAAGACAGTTCTGTCTTTGTTGAAGTAGACCTTGGGTTGGCTGGTAAAGGGGAAGTTTTAGGTTTTAAACTTCTCATCCTCGCTGTAGTTCATCCACAGTACGTCTGACTGAAAGACGCAGAGCATAGAGGACAGTTCAGAAACTTGGTTTCCTGTCCTCTATTAAAATGTCCATCTGTTTCTCTCCAGTGCAAGTGACTGCTGGGTAAAACTGCAGCATTTTTTTAACACCCTCCGCAACCACCGCACTCACTTACTCCCCACCCTAGGTTTGCTGTCATGCTGTCCGCAGAAACCAGAGGTGGTGGTGTTTGGTTGGAGTGGGAGAAAGGGAGTCAAGAGGAGGCACCGAGATCAATAAAAGAAACAAAAAAGGCCCAAAAAAATACTACTTTTGGCGGGTGCTATGTCCCAAGTCTGAAGCGTGGGACTCCAGAGACGCCTTCATTCTCTGTTTCTCTTTCTTCAGCCATTTCTTTATCAGAGTCTAATGAGAACGTTCTGACTGAATCAGTGGTGAGCTTTTTGGCGAGCATGCGAGACGTGGAAGAAACTGAATCCAATCCGCTGCCAGAATCACTTCTGGAGAGTTCGGGCCCCCGACTGTCGCTGTAGCTCTCCTCTTCCTCGGGCAGACTCTCGTCATCAGACTCTCCCTCTTCTTCCAAGGTCAGCTCAAACTGGAACTTGTCCGCCGAAATAGAGCCGCTGCCCCCACCGAGCGCTGAGGCTTCCCCGGTGAGGGCTCCCTCCTCGGGGCCCTCTGGGTGGGGGGAGGGGCTGTGGGGGATCATGCTCTGGTACCACTCTCTGTTGTCCTCCAGTGTGTCCAGGATCCCCTGAGCGTCGGGGTGCACCAGGTCGGCCCACGTCTCCCACAGAGGGTGAACAATGTAGTCAATGAAACCCACCTAAAGAGCGAGACAAAAGTGTTTTTTTCAGTACCCTTCTTGCTAAATTCTCTCCACCATTTTATTTGTTATTTATTTGATATACCCTTGTTAGTCCTACAGAGGGGACATTTATATTCTGCACTTGACCCATCCTAGTGCTTAGGAGCCGTATTGCACATTTTTTATTCAACACTTAGAGTAGATTTCATGAGTTAAATATTTCAGCTCTAATATTGTACCTGGTTCTTCTCTATGGAGGCGTTGTGTTTGTCACACATGGGGCTGACCTCCATGCCCTTGTCTCTCTCCCTGTCCCCCTGGGTGAAAAACTCCACCATAATGCGATCTGTCCACTGCCGGTACAGCTCCAGAGGCTTGGTGGGGTTGCTCAGGTCTGCACAGTGCACCATGTTCTGAAGGACCTACGGTGAAATAAAAAAAAGAATCTGTCTATTCAGATATACAGCACACATATTTCTGTTTGGTTTGCTTTTGTTTTGGTTTCCATCAGGCCCTGAGATTGAACATTTTACGGTTAGTTGTAACTTAGTGAGCAGTTCTGTGTTAAGTAGGAAGTGCACAGTCTGTTTTTTAGCTTTCCTGCTGGGAACATGGTGGATGAGACCGGATTAAACTGAACTAAAACAGTAAAGTTGGAGGCTGTAAAAAACAAATCAATTAGCTGAAAGAGGCTACAATGCTCTGTAGTGCTAAGGTACAAAACATTTTTCATATTTAATGTGAACATATTGAAGCTCTTAAAATTAATAATAGGCAAATCGTTTTTTACCTGTATGCGGTCTGAGTAGTTATCCAGCAGTAGCACTCCTAGACTGGTGACTTTCTTGGTCTCCACCATAGTTTTCAGGTCTGCCAGGAGGTTCATGTGTTTAGACATATCTGTAGCCAGCACCTGTAGATAAAGCAACCAGATTTAAAAAGATTGTTTGAATAAACAAAGTGTAATCCCTGAAGTGAGAAAGATCAGAACTATGTCGTTTCTTACCATATCAATGACCATTTTGCGCAGCGACTGCCTCTGCTTTTTGCTCAGGTTCTGAAAGATGTCACAGTTATCTTCCTGCAGAAGCTTGAAGCCAACAGCAAGGTGGTGATTTTCCAGCACCGAGGAGTCATTGTACATCAGGGCCAGCTCAGAGTC